ATGGAAGTTCAGAACCAGATGACTCATGGGAAATGAACTTTCACTGGCTTTATGAAACAGAGTCAAGCTGGCCCAACTTGGAGACCTCTAAGCCCTGGTGACATTCTCACACTGTACAACCTATTAACAAGTTTAGGCCAGGTGTGGTGGCTCACGCCTGTAATCCCAATGCTTTGGGAGGCCAAGGCAGGCGGATCGCAAGGTCAGGAGTTTGAGACCAGCCTGACCATTATAGTGAAACCCTGCCTCTACTAAAAGTCCAAAAATTAGCCGGGCATGGTGGAGCGTGCCTGTAGTCCCAGCTACTGGGGAGGCTGAGGCAGGAGAATCGCTTGAATCTGGGAGGCGCAGAGGTTGCAGTGAGCCAAGATCGCACCACTGCACTCCAGCCTGGGTGAGACAGCGAAGCTCTGTCTCCCAAAAAAAAAAAAAAAAAAAAAAAAAAGCAACCTTAACCTCTCAAGACTTCTTAGCATGACGGCTCTGAGTCTTTCTAACTTATGGGATTGATCAATGTGAACAAGTACCATCCTTTTTGTGTGGAACAAGTATAGGGTGGTGGTTTTGTTTTTTGGGGTTTCTTTTTAAGAAAATATTTTGCCCAGCCATTATTATAATTCTATTAAGTTAATGCCATCTAAAACATCCTCATTTCTGATTTCAAAAGTTACAGACCTAGTATTCTGTGGGTTTTACCTATAGCAATTCCACTCAACTTGTATATTCTGTACTACTTTGTGGAAAAAATATCCAGAAACAAGATCACATTGCTGTTTGTCATTGGCCATGTGTCCCTTTAGGTCTTACAGCTATTTCTGGATTAAACCCATGAACCTACACCTCACCCTACTGACCTTTCACTGAGCAGTTCCCAGGCATGATACCCCTGGCTAGCACTGAGCAACCTGATATGTGGTGGCATCGTATAGCAAAGTCACTGGGTTTTATTGTAAGATACTGGGAAGATTGTTTAGATGCTGGCCATTGCAAATGCAGTGTTTTCTTAATGAAAACCCAAAAGAGAAATTTTTTCTCACTTCCTGGAATCAGGAATAGGTGGGCTTCTCTGATTTGGTTTCTCTTTTGGACACCCTGAAACTTGTTACGGATCATTCTCCTCTTCTCTTTGCTGCTGGAAAGCTTATATCCAGAACTTTCAGCAAGGAGAAATCAGGACTTCAAAATACACTAACCAGCCCCAGGTACATTTCCATCTGCTTTTCCTTCTTTACACTAAGTATACTTTATCTTGTCATCATGTGCATCTTTGTAAACAATTTCAAATCCTATTTGAAACAAAGGGGAATATGCCTGTAATCCAAGCACTTTGGAGGCCAAGGCGGGCGGATCACCTGAGGTCGGGAGTTCAAGACCAGCCTGACCAACATGGTGAAACCCCGTCTGAAAAAAAAAAGAAAGAAAAAGAAACAAAGGGGAATACAAATCAAACTAAAGCTGCTGTAGTCAATGTGCATGCCTAATCCCCCTATCAGACAGTGACCTCTAGTAAGCAAGAAGGATGCACTGCCCCACCTTGAAATCCCTATAACATCCACTGCTGCATTTTCACTGCTGAGTATTTGGGGGATCAAATAGTAGAATATGTTCAATGTTGATAACATTGTGTTACTTGAATTATAAAATAAGCAGTATACTAACCAATTGGTCTTTTACCCTCAAAATTTCAAACAAGTTTGAAAAGATGTGCCGTATTTACAAGAGTGTTTATTAAAGCATCATTAGAAATAACCTCAAGGTCCACCAACAGAAATATGGTTAACTATACATATACTATCACATTACTGACATTTAAATGAAAAAGGTGATAAAGAAGCAAGCTGCAAAATAATAAATTTTTCAAAACTAAATAACTCTGGACACATTTTGCCACTTGTAGAGAAAAAGTCTAGAGGCCCTAACCCCCAAAACTGATAACTACACGTGTTTAGGAGGGAAACTAGCCAGGGTGGGAGCTGGAGGAGGAGGCAGAGGTGAATTTTCATTCTCTTAAATATTGACTGCTTAGAATTTAATAATGAGCTAGTCTTACTTTTGCAATTAAAAAAAAAAAAACTACAGAAAACATTTAGAGACTTGTGGCTATAAAGCATTCTCAAATCTTTAAAATGCCAAATGTCTTGAGGGTTTGGTTCTTTCTTCTGGCTCCAGGTGATCAAGCCTTCCTCTTGGCCTCACCCTTTCATCCTTATCTTGCCCTGGATTCCTCCACTTTTCCATAGGCCATGTAAGAAACTGATGTTTGGGATCACTCACACAGGTTTGAAAAATATGAAAAGGGCCAGGTGCAATGGCTCACACCCATAATCCCAGCACTTTGGGAAGTGGGCAGATCACCTGAGGTTAGGAGTTCGAGACCAGCCTGACCAACATGGAGAAACCCCGACTCTACTAAAAACACAAAATGAGCTGGGCGTGGTGGTATACACCTGTAACCCCAGCTACTAAGGAGGCTGAGGCAGGAGTATCACTTGAACCAGGGAGGTAGAGGTTGCAGTGAGCTGAGATCACGCCATTGCACTCCAGCCTGGGCAACAAGAATGAAACTCCATCTCAAAAATAATAAAAGTAAAAATATGAAAAGGGAAGGAAACCTCATTCTAAACAAAGCTGTAGTCTTTATAAGTCCTTACATGTAACAAATTATAAAGCATTTAAATTCATAACTGTCTCAATATTTTTACATGTAATGGAGCAAAACATGTTAATTGAGCAAGACTAGTTTTAAGAATCATGTCCCAGGCTAGACACAGTGGCTCAGGCCTGTAATCCCAGCACTTTGGGATGCTAAGGCAGGAGGATCCCTTGAGCCCAGGAGTTCAAGACCAGCCCAGAGCAACATACTGAGACCCTATTTTTTTTTTTTTTTTTTAGAGACAGGATCTCGCTCTGTTGCCCAGGCTGGAGTGCAGTGGCCATTCACAGGCGCAATCCCACTACTGATCAGTATGGGAATTTTGACCTGTTCCCTTTCCAACCTGGGCCAGTTCACCCCTCCTTAGGCAACCTGGTGGTCCCCCGCTCCTGGGAGGTCACCATATTGATGCTGAATTTAGTGCGGACACCTGATCAGCATAGTGCACTACAGCCCAGAACTCCCTCAGCCTCCTGAGTAGCTGGAACTACGGGCATGCACCACCGCATCTGGATTTTTTTTTTTTTTTTTTTAAAGAATCACGTCCCTAAACACTTTGTAAAGAGAACTTTTAAATTTGTTCAAATTTTTTCATCAAATGAAAATTCCTTCCTCCTCCCATTCCACTAAATACATATACACCAAATAGGGAGTTTAATTTTCAAAGATATTTTAAGCCTATTTTGAGAAAACTAATCAAAATTAATTTGACCAAGAAAGTTTCTCTGTCTCCCCAAAATTTTAAAGTTAAATTAAAATAAATGTATCAACTCAACAGTGGCATACCATTTGCCATGGCAGAATTCAATGAACAGTAACATGGTGCAAGCCGGGACTCAGAATTGAGCTCCATGGACTCAGGTGGACACCACAAAACAATTGGTGGGGGACGGAGGGGGGGTGGGGAGACTCGGGGGAGAGTGGGGCTTGTCAGAGGTAACAGAGAAACCAGAGTTGAAAGCATTCAATAAACACAAGGGTGATGAAGGGGGAAGTCAAACATTGAAAACATCAACTAAAGTAAGAAAATCTGGCAAGGCAGGGTCAAGGGGAGGCTCCAACTGGGTCAGAGTATCAATGACAAAAGCAAGCGGTCATTAAGCCACTCTGACACCTGTATACTTTTTTTTGTTTGTTGTTGTTTGTTGTTGTTTTTCGACAGATGCTCTATTGCCCAGGCTGGAGTGCAATGGTGCAATCTCGGCTCACTACAACCTCTGCTCCCCGGATTCAAGCAATTCTCTGGCCTTAGCCTCCCAAACAGCCGTGACTACAGGCACACATCACCACTTCCGGCTAATCTTTGTATTTTTTTTTTTTCAGTAGAGACAGGGTGGTACCACGTGGGTGGGCCGAGCTGTTCTCAAACTCCTGACCCCAGGAGATCCGCCTGCCTCAGCCTCCCGAAGTGCTGGTACAGGCGCGAGCCCACGTGCCCACCCGCCTGTGTCCTTTTCCTCCAGGCTTTGGTTTACTCGCTGCTAGGAATGTCAGGTGCTGTAGCCAGATGTCGATAATGACAAAAAGGAAATCAGAAGCGCACAGATAGACTCTGCCCTTGATTAACGCCAGGGCAAATACTGGAATTCACTCACAATTGCTGGTTGCCTCGCCACTTTCTCCAAGAAGCTGTTTAGGTGACCCCAAAGGCTATGAATGATGATTGGAATCTGATCACAGATCTTGAAACAGACTTCTAAGGAAGTCCCGACAGTCTAACTCTTTTATAAAACGTGATAAGAATATTTTTCAGGCCGGATGCGGTGGCTCACTGTGATCCCAACATTCTGGGAGGCTGAGTCGGGCAGATCACAGGAGTTCAAGACCAGACTGGCCAACATAGTGAAACTGTCTCTACTAAAAATACAAAAATTAGCTGGGGGATGGGGTGGGGTGCAGGTGCCTGTAATCCCAGCTACTTGGGAGGCTGAAGCAGGAGAATCACTTGAAGCCAGAAGGCGGAAGTTGCAGTGAGCCAAGATTGTGCCACTGCACTCCAGCCTGGGCAACAGAGTGAGACCCTGTCTCAAAAAAAAAAAAAAAAAAGAAAAGAAAAGAAAAAATACTTTGCAAATTCTCTGAGAGGCAAGCAGCCAACTTACTAATGAGTTTGATCAGCAAATGGGATTTCAAAACACATTCCATCCGCTGCTCTCTGCTCAGACTTCTCAGAGCTGTACGGATGTGTGGGCCTCCTCACTGCCCCTGCACTATGAGCCCCTCTGCTCCTCATCCAGCCATGAAAGCGGACATGACCTAAATTCATCAGCCAAATTGGTCTGGGTCCATTTGTCTCCTCATTAAACCTAGAGAGAAAGATCTTACTGCTCTCAAGAAATCTGCTTACATCTCCAGGTTTACTCCTTGTACATTTCCTCTTCCTTAAAACCAATCATTTTGCTTTGAAGTGCACAGAACTGGTGGAAAGTCCCCTCTTCTGTATCTGTCCCATCATTTCATCTGTGTGAGTTCTGCACCTGTCAGAAACAAAATGATTCTCCATGCTCCCTTCTGTCCCACCGACAGGGATCCACGTTGTGCTCAATCAATTCTATGCCCCCCAACACCTCCTCCAGTATCCAATCCCCCACCCAGCCTGATGCACTGCAACCTGTTTTTCCACCCATTGAGCAAGTAGTTTCCAAATAGTGAACTGTGATCCACTAACACGTTATGAGTTTTTAAGAACACAGACTAGAAACAAATAGAATAGAAACTAGTTTCACATACACATATTCTTGCTACATCCTGGGCCTCAGTGTAAAAATGAATTTTGTACTGTTGTAGTCTGAAAATGTTTGAAACACTGCTTTAGACAAGCCTTTGTCCACCTAATCAAACTCCACCCATGATATTGGTCCCGCTGTCCAGGACTCCCTTCCTCCAGTACTGGCTCAAGCTCTGAACAGCATTCCATGTGTCTTCTTCATTAGCTGTTTTCAAAAGCTTTGGCCTTTTGCATTGGTTCAGAAGCTCCTTCTTATCTATCCACAGGATTGCCTTCTCCTTGAACAGACCAATGTTCTGAACAAAGAAACACCTTTTGCTATTCCTGCCTTATCCTGCCTGATCAAATCTGGGATCTGCTTGCAGCACATTTAACCGTCTCACCAGGAATAACAAGCCTCAGAGCAGTAGGCCTCCATTTCTTTGTGTGCAACCTTTCATCCTCAAGAAAAAACATCACCAGAGTCACTCTGAAAATACCTTAGACTTTCTTACAAAATTAGCCTTACTCTCCTGCTGTAATGAGTCTCTGGTGTAATCCATCCAGCGCCTGATACCAATCAATGCCAGGTGAATACAGCTCATCCCTGATGTTCAGTTAAAGTCTGTTTCCCATCTTTGAGAACAGATGGTGACTCCACCTCCATACTGCTATCTTCTTCTTCTCACAAGGCAAATGGAAGAAAAAGCACAACAAGGTGACTGCACTAGTTTGGTGGCATCCTTTCCTCTCTCAGGGATGAGGGTGCAAGCTGTCCAGCACAACTCCACCCCAGTTTGGCCCTTTGTCCAAATGCCCACAACTCTCACCCAATTAATTATCTTCCTCAACAGAAAAGCTAGCTTTTCACATCTTTGTGTAGACTGTTCAGCTTACTCTTCTCAAACTGAGTATCTCAGTTTGAGATAATGAAGCCTAAATGAATCTTTAATCTGTAAGATGCGGGATTAATTGGAAAAGAAGGGTGGGGAGAGACACTGTAGTCTAAAGAGTTTCTCACAAACTAAACTGCTTGTTTTCCTCTAATATGTGTTAAGGCCAGCTTTGAGAGAGGAACACGAATGCTGAGCCTCCTTTAGAGCACCAAGGAGGACAGTAAACAGGTCTGAAACTGTTACCACAGCTGTGCTTGACTCTGAGGAGCCAGAAACACCCAAAGAGCAAGAGGGAGAAGGGCCCATCCAACCTCAGGTACATTCCTAAACCTGCCTATAATTTGTATCACTTCCTTTTTGAAACCCAGCCCCTTTCCCATTTCTCAATTGGGAATCTAGGGATCCTTCACTTCCTCCTAGTTACAGGGAGGACTCTCCAACATCTACAAAGCCACTACTTCTTTCTCCCCACTCCTTTGCAGGGAAGGCTCTTAATCAGTCTAACACTCAGATTTCTGATAGCCCCCTGCTCCCAAGACTTCCCTTGGCAATGAAACGAATTTACCCAGTGGAGACCAGAAAGTCAAGGAAGCCAGGCCAACTCTTGCATCTGTACTCCAGGACCTAGTCAAAAGACTCCAGTGAAGACCTAGCTTCCCCGGAGCTTGCATTAGTCTCAGCCCCTTGAACATGCCATTCCTAGTCACCTCCAAGTATACAGCATTAGTAGCAAAGACCCATTATTCTTCACACCAGGGTAAAGGCGGCTTACAGTGAAATGAATAGAAATGGAAATCTAATACTGTAAATAAATAATGACTGATTGGGCAGCTGGGTCAGAGGCATCCAGCCCAGACAGGTAAAACTCAGGCAAAATCACACAGTAAAGATCCAAACTCCAGGGAGAGGTAATGGGGCAAAAGGGGTGGCAGGTGTAGGAAAAAAAGGCACCCTAAAATAATTATTCTCTGGGTCATCAGATGGCACAGGAGGGGCGTGGTGAATAAACTAAAATTCATGGTTCCTCAGCCATTCTTTCAAATTTTCTAACACGGCAGGAATACACTTTTCTAATTTAGTTTCACCCATACAATTTAAGGAAAAGATAAGCAAGGATAAAAATTCCTCATATATAGCACAGTTAAAAGGCATCTGGGATTCGCTAACTTATTACCTTAATCGGCTATACAAAGATGAAGCTACAGTGGAACCCACACCATGTGCTCTCACGGGAGTATCTCACTTAAAAACACCACAATCCGAGGTCCATTTTTTCTCAACTCTCCATTTGTGACTGCATGAAGATTTTACTAAAATGACAGCTTTTTTCCTATTTCGCATATCAATCCCTAACGTCCACACCATCTCTTCCATCTTCTCCAAACTGGTATTTGGATTAAACATTATCCAAGATTAGTGTTTCAGGTCAATTTCGTAATTTCACATAAAGGTGTGCACCCCATTAACACTCAAGTGTGTGTACAATTAAAAATACACAGACCAGCAACAATATCTCGTAAATGAACTGCAAGTGTTGTCACAGAGATTTTCCTGCCGTCTTGGAGGGGTAGGAAAATGCTGGCATTACGAATCCCAGTTCATGGCTGGGTAAACCGAGGCACTTAGTTTAATAAACTTACCAGGGGTTACAGTGGTGGAGCTGGAAATAGAAACGAATCCCTCCCTCTGACTCTCCGCCTGGTCCCTTCCTACCAGACTTTGCAGTACTCGGTGGCTAAAAATGGGACCCACTTGAGAACTGCAAGGGTAAATAGGAGCTACTCGTTTCGGAAGGTGGCGGCGGGGGAGGCGGACTTACCCACTTGATGCGCCTAATTGTGTGTGGGCTCTAACAAGAAAGCTCTCCCCGGATGCCCAAACGTTTGCACCCACCCGCTTCAAGCTCAAACCCGCACCGCCAGGCAGACAGGGCAGCCCGAACTGTGCAGCCCGAGAAACGCCGGAGGAACGCAGGGCGCCCAGGCGGCGCGGGGGCTGCGGGCCCCGGGACACCCTCTGCTCCCGGAGCGACGCCGTGGCCCGCCGGGCGGGGACGATGCCGCGCCGGCCGCACACACCTGCCGGAGCCCGCCCCGCAGCCCCGGGCCGCCTCCCGCGCGCCGGACGCCCACCCAGCCTCCCGGCGCAGGAGCCCTCGGCCGCGCTAGGCCAGGGGCGGGAAGCCGCGGCGCCCGGCTCTGCGGGCTGCGCTCGGCGGCCGGCGCCGGGGAGCCGCGGGGCGCCGCGAGCCCGCCCTCCTCCCCAGCCCCCGCGCAAACGGCGTCACCTGTGCCGAGTCCCGGGGCGAGGGGCGCGCGGGCGGCGGCGGCGCGGAGCCGGGAGAGGCGGCGGGTGGCTACAGGCGTCCGGTCATCCGGCCCGGCTCGAGGGCTGGCGCCGGCCAGGGCCGCCCCGCGAGATGCTGGCGGGAGCCGGGGAAGCCGCGGGCTCCGGGCCGCTCGGAGGTGCAGTCGCCGAGGCTCCAGCTACCGCCGCGGCCGCCGCGCCCGCCTGGACTGCGGGCTCGGGTTACCGCAGAGCGGCTCCTTAAAGGGGCCGCGGCCGCTCGGGCTCCGGCTCCCGCTCCGCGCCGCTCAGACCCTGGCCAAAGTGGGCGGGGCCCGAGGCCGGCCGCGGGGCCGACCTTCGTGTGCTGGAACTTGGGTCCCGGAAAGGGCCCGAAAACGCTAACACCCGAAGTCGCAGCGGAGAGATCCTGGAAGCTCACTCCTTGCCAAGGGCAGAGGGTGCAGTTCCCGGGTTTGCCAAAGCAAGTCACAAAACTTGCCAGTGGGGAAACTGTGCGAGCCCGCCCCCGCAGCGGTCAGTACCTGGGCTAGCCACGTAACCAAAAATCTTCTTAGATTATGAATTTACATTCTGCCTTAAATGCTCAAATACTGCGTGAGTGGACTTCGTGGTTAGATCATCAGAAAAGAGATGAAAAGGCAACTGCTGGTTTTTCTTGCCACGTCTGACACGCTCGAGTCCCGCCAGTTCTTGTTTGGGGCTGCAGGTGCTTACCAAACTGGGTACGGGGCGTGTGTGGAAGAAGCGTGTTCTCTGGAGCACCACCTCCGGAATTCCTGAAAAACACTTTTATGGGTGCACCAGCACTCCACCTACACCCGGAACCCCTCTGCTGTCGGGGTGTGGAAATTGGATTTGAATATTTGGTGCTGGCTGAGAATTCCAAGTTGCCTGGTAGATAAAGTTTGACATTAAATAGATCTTCTGACCTGTTCTATACAGCCTTAAAAGCTTCTGCATTAACTAGATATAATTGTTTGAAACAAAATAATGAAGAGGGACATTCAGTCTATTATAATTCGCAGAAAGCAATCACAAAGCCTTTTCTTGAAAAGAAGTAAGTTCTAAATAAATAATTTGTAAACACTATCATTGATAACAGGATATTTAAATGTAAGAAATATCAATAGAGCTAACAAATTTCCCCTACTATATACATGCACAGAAAGACACACATACGTGCTGCAGATTTAGACCAGAAGATACACACAAGCTCATATAAGCTGTCCCTGTATTTTCAAAGGAGAGCAATAGAATTTAAATCAGAACCTGAAATTCTGTGCGTTTATTATTAAAGTTGTGTGCCTTTCGCTAACGGAAGCTCACTGAGGCTCAATTTCTTCATCTATAAAATGGGAATAATAATTCGTAGTGACTCTGAAGAACTGGACTGACATGGAAAAGACAAAATCTATGCGACGAAACAGGGAGGGACAGAAAATGCCCTGCAGTCAAGCAGAGAGAAAAATCCTGCAGGTCCCCAAGTGCATGTTCCCCTTTTCCTCCTCAAAACTCTCAGGACTTACCGGGCACCAGTGCTCTTTGACCACACCCTGTCCCATCATAGTTCCTTCACGATATGTGCAGTACCTGACAACTTGGGTTTGCCCAATAGCTACCTTGTGCACTCACATAGCTATTTCAAAACTCCCCGTGGGCAGGATGGGTATATGGGAACATTTGTGGAGTCAACCCAGAAACTATAGATTTCACAGTGTCATCTCAAGACTCTGTGTCAACACTAACTCCTATAGAAACTCTCCCATGCTTGTCTCTGGTGGCCGATAGTAGTAGCTCTGTTCTTTCCTGATAAATGCACCATCATTATCTTTGGTATGCATAATTCTCTAACATCAAGAGCAGTAACCAAGGCCAAGTAATACAGAAATCCGCTATACTCTATTTCGCAGTATATTTCTTCATGTTAGGCCTCTGCAAATGCATTAGGAAATCTGTAAGATTGTTTCTGAGATTATACAGAACCTGTAAATGAATATCTCAAGGATAAGGCTTGAGCTATGAGAGGAATTCAGTAAATAGTAGTTGAATGTTGAAACTTTTAAACTAATTAAAACTCAGTGACCTTAGGAGTCAAATATATACATTAAACGTATATTTTTCCTGAAAATTTTAGGGTAGCTTAACCTCTGTAAAAATATCCAGTTCAGGCCGGTCAAGGTGGCTCACGCCTGTAATCTCAGCACTTTGGGAGGCCGAGTGGGTGGATCACCTGAGGTCGGGAGTTCAAGACCAGCCTGACCAACAGGGTGAAACCCCGTCTTTTTTAAAAAATAAAAAAGGGGAAAAAAATCCAGTTCATTATTAACATTTAAATCTTTATTATCAATTGTTTCACCAGTATTCCCTTTCCAAGATACATTCTCAAAATTCTGTATTTACCATACGAAGTTTTTCTGCATTTTAAATTGGATAAAGACTGAATTGCACTTTTCATATTTTTATTCACTGAAGCAGTTCAAGCAAACAGATCAGAGAAATATAAGCATTTATCTACACTTGAAATGGGAAAAAAATACATAAACACCATCATGCTGCGTTAATTTTTGTACGCGCTTTTTGCATATTTTATTATCTGTGATATCTTTTCTATAATGTATGTGTATTGTTTTTGTTTGCATTTTTATTTTTAGAGAAAGTAATACACATAAGTGAAAAATCAAATGATTCTTAAAGGCTTATAACAAAAAACATCAGAGTACCATCAGCCCCCTGCCCTGCTTCTCCTCGCCTGTCTTCACCCTACATTCCACACAATCCTACCAGGTTCTTCATCTCCGAAATGATAACCTTATAACAGTATTTCTTGATTTTCAGTTTTACACATTATTTATTGACATCCTTATGGTATTTGAGGATTTAGGTCTTTTACCCACCACCGCAACAACTTTGCCCTCATGCTTCCTTCCAACATAACCATATTACAATGTTCACTCAAATCAACAACTAGGGGGCAGGTGCAGTGGCTCACGCCTATAATCTCAGAACTTTGGGAGGCTGAGGTGGGCAGATCTCCTGAGGTCAGGAGTTTGAGACCAGCCTGGCCAACATGGTGAAACCCAGTCTCTACTAAAAATGCAAAAATTAGCCAGGTGTAGTGGTGCACACCTGTAATCCCAGCTACATGGGAGGCTGAGACAGGAGAATTGCTTAAATCCAGGAGGAGGAGGTTGCAGTGAGCCGAGATCACACCACTGCACGCCAGCCTGGGAGATAGAGCAAGACTCCATCTCAAAAAAAAAAAAAAAAAAAAAAAATAGGGTTTATATCATCCTGCTAATGTAAATATAATGCATTACTGAATCAAATACTATGCCATATTAACACTTTTTTTTAAATCTCCTGTTCTTCCTGGAGTTAATAATTGTCTGCTTTTTTACTTTTTAAAAATGTAGCTAAGGTTGGATGCAGTGGCTCATAACTGTATTCCCAACACTTTGGGAGGCCAAGGCAGGAGGATTGCTTGAGGTCAGGAGTTTAAGACCAGCCTGGGCAACCTAGTAAGACTACATCTCTACATACATACATACATAGGTACGTACGTATCTAACCTGAATTTTAGATACAGATGCTTCACAGCTGGGTAAAACGGCTCATGTCTGTAATCCCAGCACTTTGGGAAGCCAAGGTGGGCGGATCACGAGGTCAGGAGTTTGAGACCAGGCTGACCAACATGGTGAAATCCCATCCCTACTAAAAATACAAAAATTAGCCAGACATGGTAGCATGTGCCTGTAATCCCAGCTACTCAGGAGGCTGAGGCAGGAGAATTGCTTGAACGGGAGGTGGAGGTTGCAGTGAGCCAAGATGGCACCACTGCACTCTAGCCTGGGTGACAAAGCGAAACTCAGTCTCGGTTAAAAAAAAAAAAAATGCTTCAACATATCTATCAAATGCCAATCAATAATATCTTCCAATGCCCAAACACACAACTTTTTTTTTTTTTTTTTTTAGACAGAGTTTTGCTCTTATTGCCCCGGCTGGAGTGCAATGACGATCTCAGCTCACTGCAACCTCCGCCTAGCCTCCCAGGTTCAAGCAATTCTCTGGGCTCACGGCAACCTCCACCTCACAGGCAATTCTCCTGCCTCAGCCTCCTGAGTAGCTGGGATCACAAGCATGTGCCACTACGCTTGGCTAATTCTGTATTTTTAATAGAGACAGGGTTTCTCTATGTTGGTCAGGCTGGTCTCAAACTCCGGACCTCAGGTGATCCACCCACCTGGGCCTCCCAAAGTGCTGGAATTACAGGTATGAGCCACTGCCTCCGGCCACAACTTTCAGTTTACTCTTTTATTTTGCGGCAGCACGGATTCCAGTAGCTTACTCAGAAGAGGTACATAGAGGGTAAATTGTAGTACTTGTATGTCTGAAAATGTATTAATTCTGTTTTTATTCCCGACCGATAATTTAGATGGATTGAAAATCATTTTCCCTCAGCGTTTTGAAAGCATTTTTCCAGAGCTGCCATTGAAATGTCTAATGCCCTTCTAGTTTCCACTCCTCTGTATCTGATCTGTATTTCTTTTCAGAATCTTCCATTTTCCCTAGTAGTCTGAAATGTCATATTGATGTACTTTACAATGGGTCTTTTTTCAGTGATTGTGCTGGATACCAAGGGGTCTTTTTAATCTCATTAGCAAATTTTGTCTTTCATTTATTTGCTATTTTCCTCCCTTCCATTTTCTCTATTCTTTTTGTGAATTCTTGTCAGTAGGTTATTGGAACATCTATATTATCCTCTAAATTGATTGTCCTTTTATCCTATTGATCATCTCTGAATCTTTCTTGTCTATTTTCTGAGACAGGGGTTCTCAAATGGAGCAGAAGGGAGAGAGGGTTCTGCCCTCTGGATAGTCCCCTGCTCCAGAAGACATGTGACAATGTCTGGAAATATTTTTGGTTGCCACCACAGAAAAGAGGGGGTTGCTCTGGCATCTAGTGAGTAGAAACCATGGATGCTGCTAACCAGCATACAGCGCACAGAGCAACCTTTCACACAAAGGATTTTCAGCCCAGATGGCAATTGTGCCAAGATTGAGACATCCTTGACCAAAATAATTCCTTAACCTGATCTTCCACTACTAAAGTTTCTATTTCAAATACATCCAAGGGCTCCTTCCCATTCTCTGGTTAGACATTTTGTTTATGGGAACTCTTCATCAAGGATAAACTCCTTTCTCCTGAGAAGAAACTTGTAACCTCATAGAGGGATTGCACCGATGGTGGTAGTGTTAGGGTGGAGAACATGAGTGCGGGCTGGCTGAATGAGATGGAGAAGGGACCCAAGAGTCCAAAAGCCTAGTGAACTGTTGTAGGACAATCTTTCTTTCTCAGCCTGTGCCCTGCCCCTGCATTCCACAGTATACCGCACCACCAAGTGCTAAGTTTCCTACAAGCACTGAGGCTAGC